AAAAAAAAAAAAAAAAAAACAAATCGCGCGACGAAAGAAGAACGAAATCGATCGTCACATCGAGGACCTGGACCTTTTCACACGGCCCACACCGTATGTGTTTTCTCGCACAGCCTACACACCACAATATGCCTACGCGCGACAATCTAGGGCGTGTTAAAACTTCGAATCGGAAGATCGGAAAAACATGTCGAATGTCGAGGGTTTAAGCCTCTCTCGGGGGAGAGATTTCGTTTAATAAAATTATGAGACTCTCACGCGCGTGCTAATAAAGAAGACGACGGCGAGAAGAAAATAAATTCGCCGATCGACTTGTCAACGCGCAACGTCACGTCGCGAAACTCGCAACTTTTCTCATCTCAAAGATATTTGATAAATAAATTGCGCGCTTCGACGTTTCGTAAAAACTTTCTTTTCTCACCGGATAGAAAACTCATTCTTATCTTCAGCGCGTATAGAAATATGTGTCAATTCTTGTGTCAATAAACGACACATTTTTTTTAACTTTAAGAGACAAATATATATATATATATATATATATATATATATATATGTATATTATATAAAAGACACACATACACATAAATTGCCATGTATATAATAAAATATTTAAAAAAAAAGAAACAACGATATTTATTTATCGAACCTCTGTGTGTGTGTGTGATCGGGATTTTTATCCGAATTGCACACAAAAGAAGCCCCAAAAAAAAGAAAAAAGAGAATCGATATCGATACAAAAAGCTTTTGTAATTTGAAGAAGTTATTACGAGAGACATCGTCGCGCGAGACACACGATGCGAATCGGTGCGTGCGAAACATCACGGTCATTGATCGGACCGTTTGACAGCCGCCATGGAAACGGCCACGGAATCGCGACGGAATACGACCGGTAATGCGATTTCGGAGCTAAGAAAAGCCGGTGTTTTTTTTCTTCTTTTTTTTTTTTTTTATTTTTTTTTATTTTTTACGCGGCACACCACATCGATCGTGCGGTAGTGCGCCTGACATTTGCCTGGCTCAAGGGTGAAAGCGCCATGCCGTAAGGAGAGCTGCTCTCCGCACCGACCGCTCGCGCCTCCTCCTCCTCCGGTCGTTCAAAAGCAGGAAACTATAGAGAAGAAGACCAGAGACGGAGGGAAACAAGAGAGAGGGTTGACAGAATTCTTACCTGTACCCGGCAGACCGACAGGACGCCGAGCAATGCGGTCAGCGCCAGCATCCCCTTCATCTTCTCCTACTCTCGCTGATACACCTACGATATTCTTCCACGTCCTCGTTGAGAGCGTTCGTGCCTAACGAGAGAAGGTACTTCGGTTGAATTCTTCGCGATCCTTGCGGAGGATCTTTTTTTCTCTCTCTCTCTCTCTCTCCCTGTCTCTCTCTCTCTCTCTCTTTTTCTTCTCTCTTTTTTCTCTATCGTCGCCGACGGGATAAGAGAAACGACGTGCGTCAACGATTCCGAATGAAATCCCGGGATGGCCGATTTATTCCGTGTGCTTAAAAAATTTTCTTTTTATGCGGCGCACAATTCACCTGCCATATAACACCCGAGAGCGCAGCGAACTACTGCCTGCCGCTGGCGGCCGCCGCTGCTGGGTGGGTCGCTCGTTCCTACGTGAAGGCAAGATGGAGGCGCGCGTCGGCGGCGGCGGTGGCGACTGCGCCGCACCGCACCGGTGTCCGACACTCTTTTACGGCCAATCACGGCTCGGCGTTTGCTAACCGGCGCGTTCACATGCGCGCCGTCACCAGTCGATAATGTGGCGGGAACGTAGCTGGTTCAAACCGACGCACAAACGTCACCGCACGGAATTCGGAATCGCATGATTTTCGAGGGAGATCGAATTAGACAATTAACGCGCGCGCGTTGACCGCCGCGAGAGAATACCCGGACTGATTCTCTTAAATGTCACCGGGTCCGTCCTGACGTGCGCGTCCGTCGGCGTCGCGCTAAAACAAACGCGTCTCGCGGTATTCGCGCGTGTGTGTGTGTGTGTGTGTGACGCGCACGACAGATACATACTTAATTAGTACGTAAATGTTTTTACGTGACATTATATGTATCTGTTATTTAAATACAAGATAATTGAATTATTTACATTTGTGTGTGGAAAGACGAGAGAAATCGGTAGACTCTGATAATAAATTTATAAGATAAATTGTTAAAAAAAAGAAAATTGGTAAATGTTACAAATATTATATTATTTTAATCATTGAAAAACATCTGCCAAACATCGGCGAAAGAGTAATATAACGCTGCGAATGTTGAGTAAGCAGACAAGTTTAATTGCATCAACTTACTATCGTTATCGTTTTTCGATAAAGTCGATAAACGGACGGTCTTTCCTTAATAGAAGAACGCAATACTGCGCGCGAAGATACGCTAAAAAGATATATACAAAATATATTAATTGTACGATTGTTTATTTTTTTTTTTTTTTTTTTTTTTTTTTTTTTTTTTTTTTTTTTTTTTTTTTNTTTTTTTTTTTTTTTTTACGTTTCTTCTTTTATATTTTGATGGAATTATTTTTCACGATTTTATTTCGATGCGAATTGCTCATATTTTTTTTTTTTATTCTGCAATATTGAAAATATTGAAAATTGATATTGGGAATTGGCGCTCAAATCCGTTTGCGCAGAATTAATGTAAATTTTAATTTGCAAATTTTCAATTCGCACGCGTCACTCTTTTTGATTTATTTGAAATCCGACAACGCTTATTACATGACATCGTGTTTATGGTTGCAATAAATTATTCGTTGGTGAAGTAGAGCAATACAAGCCAAATGAGTTTATTCGCGGCTCTTTAAATTAACAGAGGCGTAAGAGCCGTAATTGTTATTGTCGGGATTACACGCGGAAAATCTCAAATTCCTGCGCGTCTGCACGCGCGGATGAAAAATATCCCTAAATAAAATTATTTGTAACTTTGTTTTTCGTGTAATGAAAACGGAATTCTAGGATATAACGGTTGTGTTGTTGGCGTTTATTCCGTACTATTTTTCGAAACTTTACGGTAATTAATAAAACCGTTTTGTTTGCCGGAATATTTAACGAATTAATTATTGCATCACCATGTAACACATTTTAATGACATATTTGTTGTACATCTCAATAATCAAATTTATTTTCCACAAGTTATACGGGCGAGAAAAATTCTGGCTAAAGATTATATTAGATAAATAAATTGTTCAATAAATTGCCATTGAGTTTTTTATTATAATAAATTATAAACTAAAAAAAACAAAAACATTAATTTCTTTCTTAAAATAAAGAAACGCGACTGTGTGTTTTGCTTGGTTTTGATTAAATGCCGCATAATTCATTTCCAAACGAGACTTTGTGCGAGACCTTGTGTGTAATTCGAGAAAACGAGCGCGCGCGACATCGTCGGACGGTCGTAAAAATGCGAGGTGCGACTCCTTTTGCTAATTAAAGGAGCTCCTTGTCTTTTGTGCCACAGACGAAAGAACCGCCCTCGACCAATGGCAATCGATGACGGAGCGTGCAGTTTCGCTGCGGCAAATTGATCTCCCTACGCATAAGAAATCGAAACGAGAACTCGCAGGGAGGAGACGAAAAAAGAAGGAGGAAGAGAAAAGAAAGACGATGCAAAGAAGCAGAAGAAAATGGAAAAAGGTACGAAGAACGGCGAGGGGAGAGAGATAGCAGCGGACGACAAGAGAGAAGTGCGGAAAAGGTTGCACAACGGAGCATAAGTTGAAATGTCTGCATCCATGACAAAATCAACAACCTGTAGATACGGAGTCGACTATCACGATGGCAATAAGGTAACAAAAAAATCATGTTACCACTCTACGGAGTACCACTGGAGCCAGAGTAACGGGCCCGACGACGACACGGCGCTCCCGTGCAAAAATATTCTCTGCGCCAGGAAGAGAACTCTGGGATCACGTGTGTGTGTGTGTGTGTGTGTCTGTGTGCGACATCAAGGATTTGCTCTTAAGAAAAGCTCGAATATGTTGTTCAACACTGACAATCGACATTCGTTCTCTTCGCAGAACTTCTGGCGCAGAAGTTGTTTGATTTTTTTTTCTAATACAAAGAAAAAACCAAAGAACCTATGGTCCAGGTTGAAGGTGGACAAATACAATATAAAACGCAGTGTATTCTGAATATTTTGATCGCTTCTTATTGTTGATCATCTTCAAGCACTGTTTACATTAATAATAATATGAAAATTCTAAAATTGTGAAAATATAAAAAATCCGCGCTTCACAATTTTCACAATTTTAGAATTTTTATATTATTATTATTATCGCGTAAACGATGCTGAGGATGATCAACAAACAAAAGAGGCTTTTTGGTTTTTTCTTTGTATTATAATTTGTTTCAACAAAGAGCCGTTATTAAAATTAATTAATTTGTTTTCTTTCCCAAAATTCTGTTGCTTTGCCTGTGTGTGTATGTGTGTGCGCGCGCACATTTCTAAGGGTAGCAAGGATGACAGTCGTCATTTTGTTTTAGAATTTTTGGCAGAATATTAATAAACAAACTTTTATCCAAACGCTATATATCGTAGAGACGCTATTATTTGAAAAAAGTTAGATTTGTTATTTAGAGAAATGCTCGTTTTCCATTATATTCCATTATTTATAATTTTTGCTTTAAACAAATTTTGAAGCAGCACTCGGAGAGTAGCAAATTATAATAATAATAATAATAATAACAACTCGTCCTCGCTCACTTAAATATAATTTAACGTTTTCACTGCTCTGTCACACATCGTACACGTACATACGTAGGAGATGGCTCCTGACATTAGCAAAGGCATTTCGCTGAAAGATAATTTTTTTTTAATATAGGCCTGTATTTTTTTTTTTTTTTTCACATAACTCATCCGGGCAAGTTAAAAATGACATGCACATTTTAGATAGAAATACACCGTCTGCCTCGAAATATATGATAATCTACTGTCGTTTTAAAAAGTCGACATTGTTAATATTTTTTTATTTTTTTCTCTCTTTGTCACACACATTTTATGCGCATATTTGTCGCGATTACGCGCGCGCGCGTCATTATTAATTAGGCGAATATCCCGACATTTGCGCCGAAAAAACTCGACCGGGGGTAATTATTCGACCGCGTCCGTGTGACCGTCGTAAATTTTTTGTGGAACGCGGCCAAATAAACATAACGTTGTTGTTTACAACAGTCGCGCTTCAAAAAAAAAAAAAAAAAAAAAAAATGCTGTTTAGAGTTGATTCCCTCGTGCGTAACTACGTTCCCAATCGTTACATCACGTCGTTTGGCCGCGGTAATTGGCTTCGCGCGTCGAAATAGTAATTTCGCCATTCGATATGTCGCAGCAACACTCGCGGCATCGCGTCGATACGGCACGCTGAAATAATACGTTAACGCGACCGCGGGGAATCTCGCGCGCGCGCGCGCTTCGAAATCAATTACGCGCCCGCGAATTGTAGTACGGTTTTGTTTCCCGTACTTTTTTCCCTTCTGTTATCTCACGCTAATGGAAAGCACGGCGGAAAGAGACAAAGAAAAAAAGGAAAATAAAGAGAGAGAGAGAGAGAGAGAGAGAGAGAGGAGAAGAAAGAGAAAAGGACGCGCTCTAATATAGTTCTCTCAAAGGGCAACGATAATTATCGAGTCGTGAGAACGGATGCGGATCTCTCTTCAAAGACCCGCGCGCGCAGTGATTTTGAAATTGCGGTTTCTTGAAGGTACGGAACTTCGCGACGGGGGAAAAGCAGCGAAACGAGAGCAAAAACGTAGAGTCGGTTAGTAAATAGCCAGTTGCGTTCTCCACTCGCAACACAACACGCGGCCATCTTTCAGTGATAACACACACCGTGAGGAGAGGGCCGTCCTTGCGATAAAACACGGCGAAACAATCTGCGGTATCTTCCTTGGCTTGGATAAATAAAAGCAGGTGACACAGCCGGTGGATCCGCCCAGCGACGAGACAATCCCCCGCAAACGAAACATTAAAACATTTTGTTACTTGTTTTGTTTTTTTATTATTTACCGCTTCCTCTCTTTGGGGCGCGATATATCAAATTGATATATCGTTTACTTAATTGTTATTCATTAACATAATTAATTAAAACTAAAAAAAAAAAGAAAGAAGTTGAAATATAAACAAAGATGTTGTTGTGTACACGTCAGTAATCGTGAGACAAACTTCGGTCCACGAGATAAGCTCTTCCGGCTTCGCTCCTTTTGTCTCCCTCTCTCTCTCTCTCTCTTTGTGTGTATATAAACTGTTCAACAAATATATAACTAACATATTGAGTAAACTAAGTAACATCCCACAGATGCTACGTAACTTGATATAAATTAGTACACACATACCTCCGCTAACATATTGCGTAAACAAGAAAATAACTCTGTGTTTCAATCTCTCGACAGAAAAAAAAGTGACACGTCAGAAATTTTTCGAATCCGAGAACAAGCGAAAAATAAAAATCCATCAAAAATTCAAAATTTTTAGAGAAGAAAATTTCGTTGCGTTTCGTAATTTCACGGCGCAAAACAAAACGCGCAAATAAAAAAACAATTTTCCTTTTGTTGTTACTGTTCAATACGGTCAATTCGATGATATCGCGAAACGCCGAGGTCAAAGACCGTTAAGAAAGATGATGAAGTTGCAAAATATTTTGCAAACAAACGATTAAAAAATGCGTAATATATGTGTAATATACACATATATGTGTTCAAAGAGATGTGTGTAATATACACACATATATATATATATATATATATTAAATATGCAAAATTTAAACGATGTACCGAATCACATATATTTTTGTTAAACGAAGAAAAAGTGAATGTGTACGTCTGAAAAAAAATCCTAGTTTCAAATTTCGTGGCCGGATCGCACACAGAAGCGCGTCGTCACCTCGACCGCGCGATTCCGAACCTGTTCCGCGAATTGCTCGCTCGCGCGAGTTAACTATTACGAACCAAACAACGCGCCTGCCTTTGGCCTTTTTCGGCGGACACATGAAAATACATGAGTAGGTAGCCTTGGCCCGTGTGCTTTCGTCCGTGTGTCGGGCACCGTACCGGTTACCTTGGAAACGGTATCGATTTCAACCCTCAGCTATGCAGTAGGAAACCAGCACCACACCATGGGGGTCTCTTCACCCCTGAGTTTCGACGAGGCGCACGGAGCCCGTTTCGACAACCCGATTACAAGGGCCCCTGTCTCTTTCCCTCCCGTCCTTTCCACCCCTCTACGTTTGCGATGCCGCGATGCTTTCTCCCTCTCTCTCTCTATCTCTCTCTCTCTTGTTCCGATCCTTCGAGGGTTTGCCCTAGGACGTAGCAATGAACGCTTTTCCACCCACCTAACCCTCCCCCCCCCGTCTCTTCTCTGTCTCTTCTTTGTCTCTTTCTCTTTAACTCTCTCTCTCGATCGTTTTCACTCTACTGATTTGCGAAGCTGTATACATCTCTCGCGACTCGATTGCTCGGCCCGAAAGTTATTATTGATGCAAGGCAAACTGCAAATAGCCTCCTCTCGATTCTCGTAGCAGATGATGAATTCGCGGATCCTCTCCTAATTACACGTGGATTGCATTATCGTGAGAGCACATCGGCTTTGTGCCAGATATAATTGGTGTGTACAGTTGAAACTATATCGATGGATCTATAACCGCGATTGAACGCAATTATAATACGCAAATCGATGATGAACTTGAAGATTTAAGATTTAAATATATATATATATATATATATATATATATATAAATTTCTTTTTTATGGTAAATAGAAAAATTAAAAACAACATTACGCGTTTCGATTAATTAACAAGCACATTGTAAGATCATTTTGTGCGATAACAAAACTGTTAAAGAGGATGTTGTGCGGCGCGCGACATGCGCAAGCGTGTTGTTATGCGCGCGACTCTACGACAAAGTAAGTAATAACTCAAGGCGGATGTAATTCACGAAATTGAGGTATTACGGGAAACTTTGGGTAGTTCACCCAGAAGATAGTGAGAGAGAGAGAGAGAGAGACACCGTGAAGAAGGGATGACAATCCTAAATGCATAGAATATTTCAACGCCCAAACGGTATATTCTCCTTCTCTGCGGCAAAAAATATTCTGCATACGGAATTTATTTTTTTTTTCTTTTTTTTTTTTTTTTTACAAACAGTTATACAATTATTTTTTCACCTCAAACTGTTAGTTTTCAAAAACGTTTGTGTTTTTCGACAAACGAATCTGAAATTTAAAAATTTCTGTTAAACCACAGTTCACTTAACAATTAATCAAGGAAGAATACAAATGTATTTTTGTTATTTATTTAAGAGAAAAATATATTTAAACCGGCGACGTTTTGTGTCTCAGTGCACAATATAGGCAACTAAGCTTCTTACCAATTTTGAGTAAGACGAAATTTTTTTCTAAGCTCTTAAAAACTCTGTTTTTTTTTTAATATTGTGCAGAATGCTGTGTGTGTGTGTGTGTTCTCTAATCCACTATTATGAATATAACAAAGAAAAAAGGAGACGTTCGTGCGCAAATTCTTGAAATGTTATTTTAGAGCGCTATGAATTCCGCAAAACTCTTTCAAAAGTTAACAAGTGTGTCGCGCACACACGTCGGATGTGACAACGAGTGTGTAATATAGTTCCATTTCTGTCACAAACGAGATCACGTCCGTTAAGGAGAAAGCGCACAATGTTCGGTTATTTAGGTCGTATAATTTGTACGCGTTGCATCTCTTGAAGAATATATACGCATAGTGTTAATATACACATAACGCACACGCACATATTTTGATTCATTAAAATTACCAGAGACGCAAAACAAAACAAATATTTACCGCTCGTCTTATCGTTCCAACAAACGAAGCGGCAAATCGAACAGGCGCAAACAATATCATTGTTTGAAAACTGTACAATAAACATTTTATTTTGTTTTTTGTACGTAACAATAATTCGCGACTTATTAGTCCGAAATACTTCTTGTTCGTTATAAAATATGTATATGGATTATTCTCCTTAAATATCTCCTTAATAATATCTTAAGAAAAAATGGATGATTTTTTCTAAAAACTTATTAACAATTCACATGAGTATTTAATAAAATTTATATGAGTTATGTAAATCGTAATCTCAGAGCGCGTGATAAACTATTCGCTATCATATTATGTATAAAAATAGAACGGATGATTAACAATAAAGCGAATAAAACTAAAAAATACTGGCGTGCAACTGCATTGGCTGTAACAATATCGATGAGTTTTACTGTTTGTCTGTTTTTTCTTCAACCTCGTACACACCGCACATTTTATTGGCCGGTACAGCTTTATCTGAAACAATATTACATTATACACATAAACTTTACAGTGATAACAATAACGTTCCAATATTTTTCTAACAATTCTTGTGGTGGTTATAAACTCTCTTTTATTCAAGTTTCAACCAAAATCATATATAAATTTAATACAGTTTTCCACAATTTGACTCAAGTGAAAACGACTGGCGCGCGTTTATTCAACATTTATTTCGGGGGAATGCGAATCGACATTTTCATCGATCTAGTTTTTCGGTTCGCCGAAAACAGGATGTAACACGACGTTTCTGCTCATCTAATATTTAAACGTGTCAAAAAAAAAAAAAAAAAAAAAAAAAAAACACCACAGGAAGAGACATAACAATTGTTGCAAATACCTCTTTCTTCACAAAATCACCGTCCGTCAAGTATCGTTTAATTCTTCATCGCATTGGACGAGATTTGAAAAACAAAAAAAAAGTATGGAAATGAAAAATGTGAGGAAATTTCTTATCCGCGATGTGCAATTCTAATTTGAACATTTGAAGTTTTCGCGCACAGTTTTACCTACTCCGAATAGATTCCTATAAATTCTTAAGACCGCGTGCTCTTTTATATCTTTTTTTTTTTCCGACGCGTCAATCACATAACTGTCAGTGAAGTTTTTTCGCTTAATTTACGGAAAGTTCTGCTCACCCCCCCTCCCCTGTTTCACGTCTCGTCCAATCAGCTCTCATTGTTCCGCGTTTCCCCCCCCCCCCAAAAAAAATTAGCGATCTGCGCGGATTCGCGCAAAAAATTCGAGAGTTTTCACTTTTCATTTGGCAACAAAAAAAGTCGCGCGATCGCGCGAGCGTCTCGATCTGTTCTCGATCAATGCGCGATTTTCTCACACTCTCCCGTCGACTCCCAGCACTCGCGGATCGCATCTCAAGACGACACGGGAACATCTTGAAGACGACTATTAGCTTATCAGTTCGAATCCATCGCGGCTGATAGCAGCTAGATGTGCGCGAACTTACTCTTCTCCTCCCCTCCCCCCAAAAAAAAGTAAAGTAAAATAAAATGTCGGTGACTCCCGATGGGAGTTGTTTTCTCCGCGCAACCACAGAGCGCTTCCAGGGAGAAACCCCGCTTTGATAACAACCCCTAGATAGAGCGCAACAATCCCCTCCCTCTTCCTCTCTACTTTAGTACATTAATTATTTCTAACTACTATCAAGAGCGTTGTATCACTTGGGGGCCTACGACCTTTAGGAATTTGTAATGTAACCAAAAGTTTCGGCGAAGTTTAAAGCGCGGGAATTAGCAAAATAATCAAAACAAGTGTCAACTCTTCTGGAATTTAACGCTCTCAACAGACTTGACGTTTGTATATGTCGCTTAAATATGTAATATAATACACAAACGCAAAATGTCACGAGAAAATTGTTTGATATCATCAGCAAGAGTAATTTTTTATTTAGAATTTTTAATTATATATCGATAAAAAATATAAATACAATGAAAATACGTTACCGATCATCTTCGGATACGGAAGGTTGAGATTGTCCATGATGGCGACGAACTCCTCCAACGATTTCGACAGTCTGGGATTGAGAACCATCTCCTCGGCCACCGTGGTCACGGTTCGTCCGTTGTAATCGTGCGCCGGATAGAGCCGATAATGTCGCGGCAGCGTGAAAATCTTCTCGTGAATGGATTTGTACAGAGTCGCGGCGGATCCGCCCTGCGCCGTTCAGGTACGATACGATTATTTAGAATAGATGGCAATTAACGTCGTGTCACAAACCTATCTACGATATATATATATATATACTCGTGACATTACGCGAAAACCGACCGTAAAAAGCACAACAACACAGAGCGAAATTACCAAGCAGCGACGCAAAAAGCACGCGCGCGCTCGCGCTCGCGCGACACCGCAGATTAATTTGATCGATCGCGAAACACCTTCGGTTCTTGTTAAATGAAAATCCTATAATAACAAAACTCGGTTAAATAAAGGACAAACAAAAAAATATATTGTTTACACAATTATCTAGGATACTCGCGCGCGGAGAAATAAAATAAATTTCAATTATATACCGCTATAGAAAAAAGGCTGTGCAGTGCGTGTGTCAGAGGTGTAACAACGTGGAAATTGCCCGTTTTGAAATATGTCGCCGGGCGAAAATAATCATTTCGGTCGCGGGTTCTCCCGCGGTAAAAGGTCGGTTTAACTCGAGCTTTCGGAGAGGAAAGGAGGAGAGAGAGAGTCGCGGGACGCGCGTTTATAAAATGCACCGGTGCGCGCGGTCGAGCACGCGCGGGGTACGGGGACTATGACGGACGGCTATTCATCACGCGAGTTGCGGAAAAGAAGTCTTTCATATTCTGGATGATATATCGACGTTTTACCTCGCGGTAGGTACGCGCGACACGGGTAGGAAAATGTTATTGCGCGCGCGGCTGTCGCGCGCGGCGAGAATTCAGGATGCCCGAGCGCAAAGCAAAACCCGACGAGACGACGAGGGGTTACCGCCGCGTCTCTGTTTCTCCGCCCCGTAGAATCGATCGTCGATTAGTTACGACGTTTCAAATAAACGCCATTTATCCGACGTTCGACAATTATATTGGACGGTGACAACGCGCGAAGGGCACTTTCGATCACAAAAAGGCCGTTTGTATTGATTGAACGGCGCCGAAACGCCGGTATGCAGCAGACAGCATCCAGGATGCAAAGGCGAGCTTTTCGCGGGGATTAACGTGTGTGTGTGTGTGCGGACCAATAACCCTCCCCCTTCCTCCCCCACCGGTCGAATCAATGAGAGAGAATCTTCTCGTGAACATCGTGGAGAGTCCGTCTCGTCTCTCATATTTCGAGAATTATCGCACTTTTTTCGCGTTCGAATCTTTCAGAAGTGATATATATATATATTTCTGTGTGTGTGAAATTAATCGAGAATTATTTGTTGCAATTTTTGAAAATAAAAAATATCATATATATTTGTTTGATTTAAAAAACCAAGTAGTTCGAAAATTGTGCGATAATTCTAGTTCGCGTTTTTGGAAGTGAATTAGAACCACATGACGTTCAAGTCCACCACATGCATGCGGAGAGAAAGCTTGCGTGTTCTCTGCGGAAGAATAAATGCGATTTTCAACTCTGCGGAGAGAACTCTTGCGGAGTCATTCCGGCCGCACATTCGGGGGTTTATAACGCTGAACGTTTTAATTGTGAATTTTGCTTCAATACGGTGAGACCTTATTTACGATCAAATTTGGCGATTAATCGGCCATCAATCTAGAAACAATGACAAAATACGGTAAAATAATAACAACGTTACGTTTTTTTTTTGAGAGAGAGACATTGTTTCAATTATTTGCTTTCGGGCACGACGTGAAAATTGAAAATTCTCTTTTCAGATTTTTGTTCCCGAAAACGCATAATCGTAAAGAAGATAATGCGATAAAATGAAATTGTAATAAAAAAATTTCTTCGCTTCTCGGAACGCGTGAAAAGATATTGCCGCCATTTTTCCACGTTTAAAGGCGTGTACATGTGCGACAAGAACACGAATCACACATGCGTTAACCACCACCGTATGTATGTCCGCGAAAGATACGAGATTTTTCCAGAAGACGAGAGAGTTTTCTCCGCCGGAGAACACACACATATGTACCACTCGTTTTCTCACTCTCACTCTCTCTCTCTCCTTACCTGAAAATCAGTTCTGCCACATCCCCGTATCAGGAGTGCATCACCCGTGAACGCGATTGCCTGCTCATCGCAAACGTACGTGACGCAACCTGCGCAGATCAGATGGAATATTTACGATATCATGCTTCGACTAACACCGACTCGTCATTCGGCAAACATCGTGTCTCGTTTTTTCGGACCGAAACATATTTATCTCTTCGCGGCGATTTGCCCTTCGTAATCGGCCGCTACGATAAATTGAGTTCTCGTTCGTCAGCTCTCGTTCATCCTATTTGCGTGCGATATCGCGTTTTCAGCGAAAACGAAAGAGAGAGAGAGAGAGAGAAAAAAAAATAAAAAAAAACTACAAGCAGATATATATTACGTTCGCTAGAAAAATGTCGAACAGCCGTATCTCTCTCTCTCTCTCTCTCTTTCTCTCTCTATCCGGCGAACAAAACCATTTATATATATCCCGAGCAATGTAAAAATCGGATCAAGAGCGAAATAATGGAAACGTTAACGCGCGCAAACACGTCCAATAAATTTCCAATTATAAAATTACAACAGCAGTATTTTTTTTTTTTTTAATGAGTTTTATAAAGACCGAATTTTCGTTACGCGTTGTATATACGCGTTGTATACGCGTTGTACGTGCGAGCGTGTGATAATTTTATAATTAAACAATAATTACACAATAATTTTATAATTACACAATAATATATGTAATATATATATATATATTAATATATATATGCGATCGTTGAAACAAAAAACAATTACGCGTTAACTGTTGTAATAGCTCGTGTAGTCAATTATAAAAAAACAAAACCTATTATTCATATACGTAACGACTTATATTTCTGAATAAATACGCGTTGAATGATCGAGCCACGATTTTATCATAAAATTACAAATGAGTTTTGGAATGCGCCGCGCGCATCAATTGCGCCAAGTGTCGGAGAATCGTTCGCACGGTTTATCACATCCTCGATATATATATACGCGTACACAACACTGCTCCACACAAAATATTTTCGCTCTTTTTCGTAAAATATACAAACTCGCCACATTTAGCACCAAGAATCACGGAGAAATTTTCTAGGAATTTAATCAGCATCATTTAAACTCTCTTCACGTTTTGGGAACGGTCGGATATCGAATATCCACGATCCGTGTGGATATTTAATGCACGTTCCGCGTATTCGGCACGAAAAAAAATCCGAACTCGTGATCGAGCTCCCGTGGCTCGATATAGCTTATAGACCAGACACCCCCCCCCGTCCAGGATTTTCGCCCTGGACAAACGATTGAACTCGCGACGAGTAGCGCGGCGAATCTGGCACGATCGATAAGAACGGCCATATCCTTTTTTTTCTTTTTTTTTTTCTTTTTTTTTGTCGTCGTAAAAAAAAACAACTCCCAGTAGTGCATCTGTACACGTTACGTGTACATGTTACCGGACAGCATCCTCAAGGCTATATATAGAATGGATCAAGCGTTAGAGACCTCCCCCAAATTGGGAAGAGAAAGCTGTTTGTGACACTGCCAAAAGATTAATAGTTTCCGCGAGTTACCAGATAGATTGAAAGTTCAGACTCTCTCTCTTTCTCTTCTCGTTGTCTGAAAAACGCTTTGCTTTTGAGCTATATATATAATACGGATATAAAACGTTCCTCCGAGAACAGATATAGAGAGAATGGTAACAGAAGAGATACGTCGTTTGTTATTTAATTAGAGAAGTAGCAAAAATATGTTCGATTCGTTTTCCCGAAAGAATCCCGCGTTTTTTTTAATTAATTCGGTTAATTGGTTTGGAGAAAATTTTGCAATATCTCTGCGTGCGCCAACAACAAAGAGAATTCCGAGAACACTTTGTGAACAAGCGAGAACGTAGTTTCTTAATGATAAAAAAACAAATACTGGCGGATCTAGGAATATGAGCGGGGGAAAAAAAAAAAAGAAAACTGCAAGAACAAGCTCGCAGCTACAATTTCCCGGGTGAAGGAACAACTCGAGTTAATCACTCCAGGGACGCTATTTCACACGCAACACGCGTGCGAAATGCGGGACACGACGCTCGCGCGCGCGCGCACGCGCGAAGAGCACTTTCTTTTAAACGTGCAAAAATAACAAAGAAGAAGAGACAATACGAGACGAAGGAACGCGAACGAAACGCGCAAACATATTCAGACGATATTTTGATTTCTTTTTTTTTGTGGATATTGTAAAAATCTAGAAAAAATATTTGTTCTGCGTCGCGCAAACTTTTCACAAAAAAACGTTCTTACGTTTTTTCTCTTTCACCTTCGTCGCGAATCCGCGGATAGAAAATATTGATATCAACGATGTATTTTTAAATGCGGTTTCTTAAAGCGTTTATATTGCAACATCTTTTGCTCTCTCTCTCTCTCTCACAGATCGATCACGTGGACGAGACGCGCGGACGCGCATTATATCCTTGATCTTTTCAGTCCACGTGTAAAATACACACGCCCGCCCCCCTTTCCCTCTTCTTCTTCTTCTTCTTCTCCGTCACCTTCGAAGAGAAAAGTATTTCGCCACTTTTCTCGTCGCGCGTCTCAATTAATAAAATAATAGACCGGGCGAGCGCGCCCGGGATCGATCGCGCAAGAAATCCACTTTGATACCGCTTGTGAGTTGCGGGCTTTTGTTCGGTTAAAACTTATCGCGCGCGTTATATAGACTCCCCCTCCCCCTTCGCCCCGAAACTTTCGTTATGTCGCTCGAAAATTAACGGCCCTTGTATTCCTCGTCGGCGCGCGCATTAAAGAAATCGCGCTAAATCGGATTACCGAATGCGTGTTACGAGAATTTTTGCGAAATTATTGCACACACACGCGTATGCCACACACGGAGCGCGCGGCGGCGCGCTTGTAAATAAATGCGAAACTATATGAAAATTTGATGTAAACTTTTTAATACATTTAAAATTAAAAAGTTTTTCGAATAAAAATCTCAAGCTATATAACATGTTTCGAAACACGTGTATACCGAAACAATATTAAAAAGCAAAAAATAGGATAAAGTAATGTTGAAAAATGAAACGCGGATGATAACAAGGAAAATCCGAAAATTCATTTTTCATTTGCAGCTCAACAAGACAACGATATATATCATTGTACATACGTGTATATATCGTAACGCGAAATAGCTCGCGAAACATGTCGAGAAAACGCTTGAATCCACGTATGTATCAAATATGATACACTATGCACTTAGCCCTTTATAGGGCGCAACGCCGCGCTGTATTTTACCACTCCATGTGGCTGACACATAGGCGATGGTAGGATGCCTAGCTAAATGGGCAGCGGTATAATATTTTACTGCTCGTAAAAAAAAAAAAAGGCGAAAACGGCAAATCTGCCATTTTTGGCAAAAAAAAAAAAAAAAAAAAAAAAAAAAAAGAGACGACGTTGTCCGTTCTTTCTTCGGCAAACACTTTTGTGTGTGAGGATTCGATTAGGAGTGCCAAGTTTTTTTAAGCTGTTTTTTTTCCAGTTTCAATACAACAACATACGATCTATAAAATATTTTGGTAAAATATCGAAAACTTTGAAATGCAACGCTTATTGAACATAATTGTCAAAATTGCGCGAAAGAAAATAAGAGACGATGAACGAGAAGAAGTTAAAAAAAAAGAAATTAATTTGACTTGAAAAAAGAGAATCTCTGACCTTCGGTGTGGCCCGGGGTGGGCACCGCGTTCAGACGATATCTGCCGAACCGCACCTGATCGTACGGATTCAAAAGTACGTCCGCCTCGGCGCCGCTGATGCGCGATATCACAGACTTGCAACCTGGCAGCAATAATTTCAAACGTCCTGTGCCGGTGATGTGGTCCGCGTGCACGTGCGTGTTCACTGTAAACAACAAGAAAGATTGCCGCACCGAGAGAGAGAGAGAAAAGACGCCAGTCACCGTTACCCCGTAAATGCATAATCAATAAAAGCCGCGATCGCAACGCTGTATCATGCTTTACGCGAAAAACGCGCTACGGTGCATTTTAAAATTCTCAATAAATTGTTTCCAACCGTTGAGAGAAATAACACGCGATATTGTTCGTGGGATTGTGAAATCACTTATAACACACACACACACACACAATTGAAAGAGATTTTCGTACGCAAAAATTTACTAACAACATACGTTAAAACATTAACAAATAACGAATTTAAGAATTAAAGATCTAAAAAATTTAACGTTAAAAAAAATCTACGCGATATTAATTAATTGATTAAACAACTCGAAATGAAGAAGAGACACATTTTCTCTCTCTCTCTCTCTCTCTCTCTCTCTCTCTCTCTCTCTTTCTCGTTATTATTTTAAAACATATTATTTCTCAGTATCTATCTATACACAAATACGTGCGCAAATAATTAAATTACATTAAATCTATTAATTTAATTAGCGGCTATACTCTTTATACATACAAGTGAATTACAAACAGCACGCGCAGTTTTACAGGAAGAGAGCGACATTAATAACGGCCGCATTATCGGAAAATAGAGAGAGGTGTATTATGGAAATGTTCGTTTGTTCGGGACAGAATTGGCACACACAGAGAACTTCGCATAAACAAGTGCATACGTTCCACTTAGCCGGAGCGATCCCTCGCAAAAACCACTTCGCGGTCTGATATAGCGCAATAAGTAATAAGGGTAATCCTATTAACCCTTTTACACCCTAATTTATGGCGCCGCAACCTTCGTCTCTTCTTGCCAAACTCCAAGTCCCCCGTCGTCATTAAGGACGCGAATTTCGATAGGAAAAAGCTAATATTGCAGTATCTACGTAGCGAAACAAAAACTGACGTCGCGATCTTGTTGATAGATACGCGTATGTGTACATACAAGGTTATCATCATAAATAAAATTGCGCGTTAAAAGGAAACAAAAATTCTAGACTTCCAGTGCTGCAGTGTGCAAGATATAATATACATAGTTTTGCGCGTGAGATAGGGATACATTTTCGTAATTTCAACACGAGCTTTATTGCAGGTTAGATAATGAGCACTAATTGAGAATTAAATTAATGCGGATCCGCCCACGCGAGCACCAAGCGCGCGATTTATTCGATGAAATAATGCCTTTTGTCGCGCGAGATACACTCGAAAATTATATAATAGATATATATATATATATATATATATACAGCATATATAGAGCAACAACAAGTGCGAAATCGAATCGGATTCTCCTTGAAGTCGAAGTTCTTTATCGAAATTGGGAAAGTTCGATGATATGCCTGGACACGCAGTGTCCCACCAGGTTTATGGTCCACGGCCGTGTTAACCCCGCGGAACAATAGCGAAACTATGCAGGACCTACGACCCCATCCTACGCGCGGCGGGATTGCATGCCAATTCATTATGAAGTTCGGCAAATATTGGTCGGTTAGTAGGATAGTTTGCAATATAATTCTGCGCTCGCGGCTCGTAAATCACAGCGCGGAACATTGCGTAATTGCCGACACAAATAGATTTTCCGTGATATCAAATAACTAAAATAATAATACATTTTGTTTTGCATATAGTATGGTATAGTGCGTGCGGTTAATTAATTGTCAATTCAATCGTTTTGCGGAAAATATTAATAAGCTTTAGATCACTGTAGTTACATCATACAAGCAATGTTTGATTTCCAAACATCGTTTAATAATTATAGACATCACATGTTAATGCAACATTATACAATGTTAATACAATATTATGTTTATATCAGCTATATCTCTCTTGATGTCTAGACAATTTTTTGTCAATTGTGCAGTCAGATAGCGGACAATTTTTAGAAAGATGTAAAAAGGAACAAAAACATGTAACGTTACAGAAATGTGGCTGTCAATATCAATCCAACATTTTATAAAAACTAACAATATCGTAAAAATAAATGTCGAACGCGCAGCGAACATCCAGCATGTTAAAATCATTCGATGATTTCTCGTTCAAACTTATTGTTTTTCATGTAGCAATTCGAGAATTGTAATAGTCTATTCTGGTTACGCGCCAGAATTTTTAAAGTTAAAAGATTTGAACAATTTTTTAAAATAACGTAGATTTAATTTGAAAAAGACTGAATATATTTTGCATACAATGACGTATTAGCTTATATAAAGCGCCGATATAAACATAGATTTTTAATTCAACAATGAAAGTTTTTTTTGATTTGAGAGACACGCACGCGAATTTGAACAATTAAGCGATCCATTTTAAGTCGATTCTGACAAGTTTAAATTTACTTTGAAAATATATGCGCACACACAGAGAGAAAGAGAAAGAAAGAGAGAGAGAGAAAAGTTCAACAAGCAATCCTAGCTGGGGAGTAAAAACATACAATCGCAACTAAAATAATATCGAATACTACGAAAAATTGTGCGATTTATCTGCGCGTTTCTCTCGATTTTCGCGATATTTATGCACAAGATAATGGACGATAGATTGAAAACTTACAGGTATATCTCAACGTTAATCCCAGTTCCTCGATGATTTTTTTATCGCGCTCCGCCCATTCGACAACCGGGTCGATCAAAATCGCTATCCTCTCGCTGATGTCTGCCAGCAAATACGTGTACGTGCTGGATTTCGGATCAAAAAACTGCAAATTTACAAATGACTACTTACTAACTTGTTTAATATTAACGTATTTTTTTTTTCATATTATGAAAAAACTACATTTAAACACATTAAAAAATGTTTCCTGTATAATAGCGTTGTGTTTTTTTTATAATTGTAATTATTACAGATAAAAGTATTTGCATATGTCGAAATGAATTAATGAATAAAACAACTAAATTAATAACTGATTTTTAATAAAAAAAAAAAAAAAAAAAGAACTGAATAAATATGATAAAATATAATAAGATAAACTCGTTACACATTATAATATATTACATGTGCGATAATATAGTCATCGCACGGAAGAGATTATAAGTTTTGTAGAAAACATACTTTCAGATAAACGATTATACATGCGTATATATGTATATACACACATACATGTTTGCGGTGTAGGCATTTGTGCACAGTAATGTAAGAGATAAGATAAATAAATGGTTTTACATAAAGAAAACATCTATCCATTTTGATAACGTTTAGGCACAGTGTGATAATACACACCTTTCAAATCTTATCATGTATTTTTTTCACATTTCGAATCTTTAATTCATGCACGAATCACGCAGAGGATAACGCAGATAAAAAATATGTTTTTCAATGTATCTGTTTTCCGAGTATTTCTTTTTTGCCACAAAATTTCCTCCAAAATATATATGAAATATTTCTGCGTGTTTGTTTTTTCTCTACCACATTAATGTACAACATTTAACTAATCTTGTTAGTTTCTGATCCATTTTTTTTTTTTTTGTTTTTTCCAGATAGAATTTGTAATATTGTAATTGTTTTTGGTAGGTTCTTTTTATGTTTTTTTTTTGTTTTTTATTCAATTCCAGTCCGAACTTTTCATAAAAGTAAAGTGCGCGCGCGCGCGTTTGTTTGATGCAAATCCGCAAAAAAAGCGAATGCACCATATATACATATTTATATATTACGGCATGTTTTTTTTAATAAAAATGTTTCGTTAATATTAAATGGATGCATATTTGTGTGCTGCTTTGATCATTGGCAAAGATGAATTTTATTCAACAATTTTGAAAGTTTCTTCTTTTTATTTCGTAATATCTCTAATAATAATAATGCAATAAACAAAATTGGTGGACTTAAAAAGTTTGAAATTATACATTCGTGTTTTTTTATTCTACCATTTTCTTTTATATGTATGCATATAAACGCTAATACCAACATGTATATACATATATATATATATACATATATCGGTTCTTTCTGGCAGCCCTCTCCTTACATTTTCTTACAATCCCTTTCCTTCCTTTTTATCCTTCGAAATCCTGAATACCAGACCTGCTCTCTGTTTTACATACGGCAAATGCACTGCTAAAAAGAACGGATGTTGAAGTGCTCTCTTTTTCCCTTCCCATACATACGTTCTTGTGCAACATCTTTTTTCTCTCATTCAAACTACTAAACACACGTTTACTTTATCCTAAGTGCATCCAAATTTTCACGCAGTTGAAAGAAACAGATTTTCGATTCTCTCTCTCCTCCCTTAAAAATATACTTCTCTCGGCGCGCCTTGTATATATTTCTTATTTTCTTCTCCTTGCAAAAACTTTCGCGTACAAAAATGCGATAATGTGTCGCACAAGAAGATACTTTTTTGCGCGTATCGATTTATTTCCGTTGATCACACAACAGCGATATGACAAATTGTTTTTTTTTTTTCTACTCACCCGAAAAAAAAAGATGTGAAAATCGAGGCGAGAAAAACTTCCTCCAATCGCTTTCACGATTCTGTTAAAATGATCATTGAAAAAAAAACAAACAAATAACAACTTTGTTGTATCGTTACAACGTTACGGAATGTGCCGGAAGAAAATTTGTGCGACACTCGCGATCAAAAGAATTAGCCTCGCGCCGAACCGAACCGAAGTGCGAGCGACCGCCCGTCAGATGGCGCTGGCGACCGCTGGCACCCGCAGGTTTCTTTCGCGGGAAAACTATTATTATTCTTTTACACCATGCAATATTCATCGAAGCAACCAATGCAACTCTTTTTGTCTTTTATCGCACAAATATAACACGATCTTTCACGTGATTCCCCAATGTTCAACAAATTTGTGTGCAAAATGCAAGAGCGATTTTGCGATCGTCGTTCGACGCACGTTACGCGCGTGCGCGCACAAAAAAAAAGAAATTGCATTATGCACGTTGCGTGATGCAAAGAGGCCTTTACCTGGCGGAACAGAAAATCCTTGGAGAAGGGTGCGGGTTCCGTCAAAACGTCGGACATGGCGCGCGTTCCGATTGTCTTCTGAATTACCGACGAGACCGCTCGACCGAAAACGCGAATCATTGGGGCGCTTGTATTATTCGAGCCGCAACCCTTATCGTCGCGCGTACCGACTCGCACTGACGTACGAGAGAGCGTGTCGCACGCGTGTGACACGAATCTGTCAAAATCGTGCGGATCCTTTACGTCATGCGGATTCTCTCAACAATTGAACAACATTGCGCAACGTATCGAATGATAAAAGATATCTTCGACGCGAGATTATGTAAAAAAAAAAATCATTCTCGCACGTTCTGGCTCCGCGCCGTAATCGGACAAACTGCTGAGTCATAAAAATCCATTTGCGAAGTAAACACCTCTTGTAAATTGCAGCAAATTGCGTAATAACGTCGTCGTCGTCGTCGTCGTCATCGAGCGACACCGTCACACGTAGAAAAGGTGGTATAGGTTTTTTTTTTTCAGATGCGAGTTGCGGGTCTTGGAGAAACGTGTAGTTCACGACCGAGCTTCCGCCATTTTGCCGTGGGTTTCCGCCATCTTTTCCTTTTTGCTGGCATACTGGCGCAGAGACACTTGGTGTCGATAAATCTTCGAAGAAAGTAAGTTGGTTCGGCAAACAAAATGCGAAGATTCGCGTAAAAACGTTATGCGCTTTGTTTGTGCGGTTTTTTTATAATGCTAGACATTGTTGAATTGTTTGACGGTTCGAGCGCTCGGAATATTTTATTGTTATATATGTGTTTTGCACGTGTGTGCGCGCATGGCGTTTTGCGCGTGGTTGAGGTTATAACGTGATCAAATTCTTGTTGCAGATGCCGTCGGTAACGCTAAAGGACGTCGATCAGCACAAATTCGTGAAGGCTTTCGCAGCCTTTCTCAAAAAGTGAGTACAAACAACAATTTATAAAAACAATTTAGTTCGATCGTATCACGCGATTCTAACCTAACCTAACCTACAATGTCCGTTGTAACGTGTATAAATTTTTACGTGGATAAATTATATATTTCGTGTACCTTATAACAAATTTATCACCATATCATATTTTTATAACAATGTAAATTTGCAAAGAAAAATTTTGTTCTGCAAATTTATGTTTTACATGTACATTGAGTACCGAGCGGCACAACAAACGAATCGGCATCGCGGAATATATGCGGATTTCCACGTGTTAAACGTGCGCGATATATATATATATTTTGATTTGTTTTCAATATTTTCTGAGACTTTGTTTACTTTCGATTAATCTTTTCAGAACGGGCAAGATGCGCGTGCCCGAATGGGTGGATATTGTAAAATCCGCCAAATTCAAGGAACTCGCCCCGTACGACCCGGACTGGTACTACATCCGTTGCGCGGCTCTGCTGCGTCACATTTATATACGCAGCCCGATTGGAGTTGGCGCGGTCACCAAGATCTTCGGCGGTCGAAAGCGCAACGGCACTCACCCGAGCCACTTCTGCCGATCGGCCGGCGGTGTCGCGCGCAAGGCTCTCCAGAGTTTGGAACAGTTGAAGCTCATTGAGAAAGCTCCTCTGGGCGGACGTAAACTGACCAGTCAGGGACGCAGAGATGTGGATCGTATTGCCGCTCAGGTTAAGGCGAAGAGCAAAAAACAGCTTAAACTTCAAGAGACGATTGTAATCTAAATGTTTTTACGTTCTTGTATAATATAACACGCATAAATCTTTAAATAATTTTTTTGCTTCTGCGCACGCTCCCTCCCTACCTTGTTTAATATAAAAATTTCAATAAAATTTTATCAACAAAATCTTGTAGCTTAAGAATCGCGTGAGAACGGAACTGGCGATCGAATTTCCCGGTTGAGACGGAGTGTTTCGCTGCTTCGCCGTGTTGTCGATCAGCGCCGCGACTCGACGCCGCGTCGATCTCGATTGCGCTTCTTGTTCTCCGGCGAGCGACGCGCACAGCACGCGTGCACCACGTTGGCAGCGCCGCCTCAGTGAAATTCCGGCCGTAGACGCGAGCGCCTCGGCACCGACCGAGCCGGGGTAGTTGGTGCGCGATTGGCTGCAGGATTGGAAGTCCAAAGGAGCATCTCGCGGACGCAGCTGCGTACGCGCGCGCGCGGTGTGTGTGTGTGTGTGAGCAGCGCCCGCCCGCCCGGTGCAATACTCGCGTGGTATTGGTTGCGCGTGTTCGTATACGTGTTTATATATACGTGTCGCGCCGGTGTGCATGCGCGCACATATGTATGCGTGGTGACCCGCGCTCTCCACCGGGAAAAGGAGAGCGAGCTGCTGCTGCTGCTACTGCTGCTATGCGTCCTCGCGTGGCCTGGTGGCTTGCGATCACCACGATCATGTCGCGAAAATAATCGCGCGCCGGTGTCTCGCGGGTGTCTCTTTTTTCTGCGCAAATTACGGGAAGAGAGACGGATTGGTGATTCGCACCGTACACACGCGCTTTGCTATATTACCCGCCCCGTTTGTCTCGTTTTCTTGTACTTTTGTCATTCATTGTTCTCCGTCTCTTTCTCGCGCACCCTCTCTCGCTCGCTCGCGCTCGTTAAACTCCCCGTCTCTTTCTGTCTTTCTTTCTCCCGCGCGCTCTCTCTCTCTCTCTCTCTCTGTCACTCGTCGTCGCGGACCGGGGACGAGACAACGTTTTGTATCGTGCGTCATAAACGAAGGAAAGACGGAAGAGATAAAAAATTCGGGGGGGGTGTCCCGCGTTTAATTTTATGTCGAACGCTGAAGAACGCCGCGGCGACCTGGAAGTGAAGTGAGAAAAGTCCGTTGGCGGTGTGTCCGCGGAGTGTGAAGTGCGCGCGATCCGGTCGTACGTCGCCAACAACGACGGCCAGCAGCGAGGGGAAGCCTCTCTCGCGCGGTTAGCGGAGAGAAGAGAAGATATCCGTGTCGAAGGGACACACTCTCTCTCGGTTGTGCAGCTCTGGGTGATCCACGGCGGTGGATGGTGGGGTGGACGGTGCGGGAAACGTCGAAATAAGTGACGGGGAAAACAAAAAGAAGAAAAGGAGGAAAGATGCCGGGCCTAATCGCGGTAAGCGAGTTCGTCGAAGAGACGAGGGAGGATTACAACTCGCCCACAACGTCCACCTTCGTCTCCCGAATGCCACAGTGCAGGCAGACCATTACATCCCTCGAGGAGGTGAGTGCGAAATGACAATTTTATATATACAGCGAAACATATCGCACCGTAATCGGGTCTCGTCGTTAACAAACAAAATTAAAAATCAACGGATCATCAACTCGATCTTCGCTAACAAAGCCGAGTTGACGAAACGTCAACTAAATGAATTTAATTAATCAGGATCCGAGGTAGGTAGGTTGATATTTTTTTGCTCTCGCGCACGTTTATTTATTTCGCAAATTTGCTTTACATTTGTTTCCACGATATCATTCTCCTCCTCGACCGCGTTTCTCTCGCGAAGAAAATTTATTCTCGCAACTGTTACTTATATTTCTCTCTGCCTCTCTTCTGATTCTCTTCTGGTTTCTCCTTCCCATCACATCGCGAGAGAGAATCGTCTTTTCCCGCTCTCCTTCTCCTCTGAGCGTTAACCATACCGGGTCGCGATCGGTGGTCGGGCGCGTGTTCTCCCTCAGTGCGTGGGCGTTGTATGTCGTGTTGAAGAGAACGTTATATACTTGGGAACCTCTGGCTCGCGGGGTCGTCCTCGGTCGATCCTGTTCGCGCTGACACTTTTGTGACACACTCGCAGAGATATGCTCGAACGATTAGAATAATTCGTATTTTGACGTATTGCGCAGACATATTTTTTATTGTGCAATTCGGATTTGTTTATATATATATATAAACAAATATATACATATATATATATATACAAATATATTTATATATATATATATATAAACAAAAAGCAATTATTTTCCGCTCGCAATTAATTTATTTTGTTCGCACGTTCCTTCTCGCGGTTAACGTGAACATTTCAAGACACTTGGAGATTTTTGTTTATCATTTATTATCGTTAAACGCTCTCGCAAATGCGGAGATGATGCTAATATCGAAGCATTTAAACTGCGAGGTAGTAGCCGGCGACGATGCTATTATTGTCGTCGCACGTGTTTTGAAATCCGATTTTCTTACCCCGGAAACTAGCTGCATTATCGGCTTTATTCTTCGCCGTTCGATGGCTTATTTGCAAAAGTAATGCAACGTACGTGTTCAAATGTCGTTTTTTTTTTTCTTTCCCCAGAGAGAGAAAGAAAAAATAACGAGTCGAATTATAAAAATGGTGTGTACGAACGGACTGTTCGATCCGAATGCAGGGTGTTATGCAACAAAATTGTTAACAACTAAATTAATCTCCAAAACGTTTCGACTTTTATTTCGAGTCATCTTTTTTCTTGAGTGAAGATACTTAATTAACATTGCTTCATTTCTAATTGACACTGAGTTCTTAATTGATTAAGTATCTCCACTGAAGATGAACTCGAAATAAAAGTCGAAACGTTTTGGTAAGTATAATTTAGTTGTTAACAATTTTTTGCACAACACCCTGCATCCGGATCGAACAGTCCCGGTTTCGTACACACCATTTTGAAATTTAACACGATCCAGAGATCATCTCATTCACAAAGTATTATTTGTTATAAAAAAAATGAATCAGTCTAATTTATTTCTGCACAACATCCGGCACTAGCTCAATATCGCCCGCTTGATTTATTATTTATTTGAAATTACCAATAAGAGAGCTGGAGGTCATACATTCCACCATCCTACCTTGGTTATAAAAATGCTCTGAACGCGCACAAAGTTAATGGGAAATTATAAATGTTAAAAGATAGGTTTTGAACTAATAAATCTCTTGCGCGCGCGCACATCTGTCACATTTCTATAATTACGTCATACAAACGTTTGTCAATGCGCTTCTCAATTTATAAATGCAGATCTCTCTCCGCCTCCCGAGTTCGCCAGGAATCACATATAAAATTGTTACGCGATCTCGAGAGATGAAAATTCTTCACCCGACAAGGCTTTTCCCACTCTCCTTTTCTCCTTCTCTTCCTCCTCTCTCTCTCTTTTCCCCTGTTATCCTCCTCGAAAGAGACTATGTTCAATATCCACTTTGGCGTGTTGGAATTTCCGGGTCACTCGTTCTCTTCTCTCGTTCGAGAAGCGAATATATACGGCGAAAGAAGAGAAAAAGGAGAAGAGATGCGCGCTTCTTAACGATCTCGAGAAATTTTCTCGAGAGTAGAAAATTCTGCCGGAATCGCGCAGATCTGGTTTCTCCCTCTTCTTTAACCGAGAGAATTTCTTCCTCCCGTTTTCCGACGATGTATAACGCAAAACCGTTTTGCCGTTATATGGACATGTTGACAGACCACCGACAGGTAGTCCCCGCCGAACGCGTTGCCGAGGTTTATCTATCGCCGCGGATACGCGGCAACGCGGCGGCGTCTGTGCACTTTTTTTTTTAACGGATGTTTGTTTCGCACTTCTGAATCTCTCTTCTTGCCATTGGCTCGAGGATGGCACGCGTACATCTTCGCAAAAACTCTCCTCTTTCGACAACAATCAACATTTGTTGATTGTATCAAACGCGTTTATTTAATTTGGAATCGTACTTTTTTTTTGAAATTTGTATTCGATTGCGCTTGAAAAAAATTCGCGATACAAAAAACCGTTACCGTATACGCGCGCGCCACAGTTTACAAGATGTTTTTTTTTCTCGTTGTAAAAATCCAGTCCAACACTTTGCGTCGCTTTATTTTTATTATATGATTTATTTCGAATTCCTTGATTACACGGTAATAAAGAGCAAATCGCAAAGATCTTGTTGAAAATAAGTAGATTTGTGTTCCTATCATATAAAGTTCTCAGTTCGGTGTCTCTCTCTCTCTCTCGTTTCCTCTCGTCTGTTTTATTACAGAGTTACGAAAATAGATCGTAACGTGATCTAAAATAGTAAGCGACGCTCGAATTTCGGTACAGACGAGTGTCGCAAGTCCCCCCCCCCCTCCGAGTGCTAAAGCGGGAAAGTGGGTGACTCGAAAGACAGTCAGGGTCAAGAGTAAACTATGTTACTAGATCCGACTCTTTTAATTAACGAAAACAAAAGTGCTGTTTTGTTTTGTTTTTTTTGTTTTTTGAAGTTGAAGCGTGTGTAAAAATCGATGCTGTTCTTTCACGACGCCGGTGCTGTTTTGCATTTGGAGAGAGCGCGCGCGGACGTTTCTCGAACATTTCTTTCTTCTCTCGACGAGACAATAACGGAAGCGCGCAGCTACGTCGCGAAATGAAACGCCGACTTTTTCTGATTAACGCTGACGATGCAAGGTCTCTCGCGGTCTCGATACGCAAATACGTCGGAGAAGCCCGGCAAAATCTATTACTTTGCATGCGTTTGATTATCGGACGAGCGTTAACCGCTCGTAAGAAACGTTTTATGTTCGCGCGGAGGCTATCAAAGTCCCTCAGGATTGTAGTTTAGGCGAACGATTTAGACCCGACGACGACGTAATCAATTTTGCTTAAGCACGGGACGTACGAGCGTGCACTCGTGATCCTTTGAAACCCCGGAGCTTGTCTATATGTATATATATTTCGCTATGTATAGTGGAAATAAAGGGTTCAAAGGGTTTAACCTTTGATAAGAGGGGACGATTTCTGAACTATAACTTGACCAAAAGTTGTGTGTGTATGTCATTTATTATGTTATTTATTTATCGAATAAAATACTTCGGAATTTTAATATTGCAAAATAATAACAAAATTGTATGTAAATCATTGAGACTATTGTGTCAATAGAACTTTTCCTTAAAGCTTTGTTGTTAGTGATAATAACGACACGTGTGTATGTTGCAAATAAAATATTCTATTTAATTGGATATTAGATAAAAATGCAGTTGCAACAGAAAATTTATTCGTATATACGGTTTTTACGGAGAGGATAATTAAAAAAAAAAACACACACATTCAATATAAATCACGATCGGTGTCGCGATTCTTATCATCGAATACGAAAATGTGATCGAAATATAAGCGACGGATTGAATAAAAAATTAATTGAACGGATTGAATTCGGAGAATTGGCACGGACAGGTTGTGGGTTAACTTAAATTGAACTGTGTGTGTAGAGATGAGGTTAAACAGAGTTGAAAAATTGCGGCTGTTGATTATATAATCGCGTTTAAGAGAAATTAACGGGATTTCGATGAACAATCGCGAAATAAATATTCGACAAAATAGTTTTCGCGTGATGTGATAATATTCGATTGAAAACCACACGGGAAAAAAACTTGACAAGTCACATTTTCGTGTTTTTTTTAGAAAAGAGCGATTTTAAACGTTCAAAACGTATTTCTGTGTTATACGTTTTGTAACAATGTTTTATATCTCGAAATTTATCAAAAATTGTCTCTTTTCTCGCTTTGGATAATTAAAATACTTTATTTTAACTATCAAAAATATAACAAAAAAAACAAAACAGAAAATCGAAAGAAATTAACTGATCAAAGTTCTTCACCTGCGGTTTTTTAACCCCTTGACATACAAATAAAACGGAATTTGATCCGTAAAGATACTATTTAATTTTGCTCAACTGAAAACAGTTACGTGCAAGAGAAAAGAGAACATTTTATTTGGAAATTTGGATTGTTATGTAACATTTAATCAATTAAATCTAATTGAAGCTCGATAAAGTTACTAAACTACGAATAACTATGTTTCCGGTCATATGAGCCGGAATAACATTTAATCAATGGTTGATACGTAATGTTAACGGAGAACAATTATAAATAACATTATAAAATAATAATTTAACAGTTCTTTAAAAGTATGAAACATTTCAAAATATTTTGGAATATGTAAAGGAACTAGACATTTTTTGCACTGCCGTGTTGTTTCGCTTCTTATATTATTTTTAATAATATATTTCTAATATACTTTATATTATTTTCTAACAATATACCCCGCACTGCGTTCGCCGAAAACAAGCTCTTGACGAGTCAGACTCGTCAAAGTGGCACATGAAATGAAATCGTCATTGTATGTCAAAGGGGTTAATTATTATTTACCGAAAACGCGATATTTTATTTCCAAAAAAACACTTTAACCCTCTCGAGGACGAGCGTCGACTACACTCGATGGACGCCGAACGTATTCTGCACGACCGAGCGTCG